GTGGCCGTTTGCGGTGAGGTACGCGGCGCATCAGATCAACCTCCACCCCAGGGTCTCCAGGCCGGAGACCTCCCCAGCCTTGCTGTGGACGGGGAAGGTTGGCGATGCGTCGGCGTTCCGGGTCTGGGGATCTCGGGCATTTGTCCGCGACCTGTCTGCGGACAAACTATCCCCTCGTGCTGCTCCTTGCGTCTTCCTGGGGTTCCCCCCTGACGCGCCTGGGTGGCAGTTTTACCACCCCACCTCTCGCCGTGTTCTGTCCTCCCAGGACGTCACGTTTGACGAGTCGGTCCCCTACTACCGCCTCTTCCCCTACCGCACTCCGTCCCTCCCCCCACCCCCACTCTTCCTGGTACCAGGTCCCCCCCAGGTAGACCCCCTCCCCCCTCAGGGTCCTGCCCCTTCAGGTGTGTCCCAGGTAGACGCAGTCGAGCCTGTCGAGGTCACTGGTGACTCTGGTGCTGCTGAGGGTGCTGAGGCTGGGGGTGCTGTACCTGGGGGTGCGGAGCCTAGGGGTGCTGGGCCTGGGGGTGCTACGTCTGGGGGTGCTGAGCCTAGGGGTGCTGAGCCTAGGGGTGCTGAGCCTGGGGGTGCTGAGCCTAGGGGTGCTGAGCCTGGGGGTGCTGAGCCTGGGGGTGCTGAGCCTGGGGGTGCTGAGCCTAGGGGTGCTGAGCCTGGGGGTGCTGAGCCTAGGGGTGCTACGCCTGGGGGTGCTGAGCCTGGAGGTGCTCCTCCTGGAGGTTCTCCGAGTGCTTCGTCTCGCCGGGAGCCACTTTCGCCACAGGAGCTGCGTGAGTGGTTTGCCCGGCGCTGGAGGCGTGCTGCTGGTGCTGGAGGTCCTTCGGCTGCTGAGGGTGCTGCGGTCGCGGGTCCCGGAGGTGCTCGTCCTGGGTGCACTGGAGCTGGTGCTGCTGAGGGTGTTGGCGCTGAGACTACCGCTGGCAGTCCTACTGGGGGTGCTCCTGGTGCTGCTGGAGGTTCTGGAGCTACTGGTGGTGCTGCTGGAGCGGGTGCTCCTGCTGAGGGTTCTGGTGCTGTCCCTGCTGCTTCTAGCGTCGCCGCGCGGCCTCGACCGTACTTCGTTCCACTCCTGCAGCAGGTTCTTGGTCTTCCACCTTCTACTGGTCCTCCTCCTCCCTTAGAGTGTCCACAGCCTGTCTCGTCCCAGCTACAGTTGCAGCCTACCTCCCCTTTGCCTGCTCCTTCTCCCTACACTGGTCCTACTGGAGGTCTGGCTGAGCGTCGTGAGCCTGCGTCTCGCCCTGCGTCGCCTGTCCGTGCTGCTCGCACTAGTGGTCGCGGTTCGCGTCAGCGTCCTCCTCCTGTCCCTGGCACGCACCGGATGTCTCTGCGTCCGTCCACTGCTCCTCTGCGTGCCCCTTTGCCTTCTCCTCCTGAGTCCTCTCTTCCTGCTCTTGCCGACCCGGAGTCGGACTCTCTTCGTACTGCCAGTCCTACTGTCACGCGTCTCCTTGCTACTGTTGTCACTGACCCTTCTTTCGAGTCTACTGCTGCGTCTGCTCTCGTTACTGAGCTCGTCGACTTTGCTGCTCGCTGTCGCTTAGACTACGCTGCTAGTCTTGTCGCTGAGTCTGAGTCTGTCTGTCCTCCGTCCGTCGGGGGTGAGTGTGCCCTTGGCACGGACGTCCTTGAGGACAGGCAGGAGGAGTTCCAGTGTCTGGCAGCTGCCTCACCTCATCTCGTGTCCGTACTGCTTACCCCTGAGGGAGACCCGGATGCACTTGACATCCCGACTCCGCGCTCTTACGCGGAGGGGATAGAGGGTCCCTACTCCTCTCAGTGGCAGGCAGCTATGGATGCAGAGATGGCTTCCTGGAAGTCCACAGGCACCTACGTTGACGCTGTCCCCCCTCCTGGGGCGAACATCGTCAGTGGCATGTGGATCTTCAGGGTGAAGCGGCCGCCGGGTTCTCCGCCTGTCTTCAAGGCGCGTTACGTGGCTCGTGGCTTCAGTCAGCGGCAGGGAGTTGACTACTTTCAGACCTTCTCCCCCACCCCGAAGATGACCACTCTTCGGGTACTGCTGCACGTTGCTGCTCACCGTGACTACGAGCTGCACTCTCTTGACTTCAGCACAGCTTTCTTGCAGGGCAGCCTGCACGAGGAGATCTGGCTGCGTCGCCCACCTGGCTTCACTGGGTCTTTCCCTCCTGGTACCCAGTGGAGTCTCCGGCGTCCAGTCTACGGTCTCCGCCAGGCGCCACGTGAGTGGCACGACACACTGAGGACTACGCTTGCGGCTCTTGGGTTTGCTCCTTCTACTGCCGACCCGTCGCTGTTTCTACGCACCGACACCTCTCTGCCGCCGTTCTACATCCTCGTGTACGTCGACGACTTGGTCTTTGCCACAGCTGACACTGCTGGACTCGCCTACGTGAAGTCCGAGCTGCAGAAGAGACACACGTGCACAGACCTGGGTGAACTGCGCAGCTACCTTGGCTTGCAGATCACCCGGGACAGAGCACGCCGCACCATTACCCTGACTCAGTCACACATGGTGCAGCAGGTCCTTCAGCGCTTCGGCTTCACGTACTCCTCGCCTCAGGCCACTCCTCTGTCTACTCGCCACTCGCTCTCAGCTCTGCCTTCGGATGAGTCCGTAGAGTCGAGTGGCCCGTACCCAGAGCTTGTTGGCTGCCTCATGTACCTGATGACCTGCACACGACCTGACCTTGCATACCCTCTTAGCATTCTTGCACGCTATGTTGCTCCTGGGAGACACAGACCAGAGCACATGGCTGCAGCGAAGAGGGTGTTGCGCTACTTGTGCAGTACGTCGGGCATGGGGCTAGTGCTTGGAGGGCGGAGTCCAGTGGTCCTCACTGGGCACGCGGACGCTTCTTGGGCTGACGACCAGGCTACGCAGCGGTCGTCACAGGGTTACACCTTCAGCCTTGGTTCCGGCTCTGTTTCGTGGCGGGCTACTCGCTCGTCTTCTGTTCTTGGCTCGAGTTGTGAGGCTGAGATCTACGCCGGGGCCATGGCTGCACAGGAGCTTCGCTGGCTCACCTACCTGCTGACCGACCTTGGAGAGCCGCCTCGTTCTCCTCCAGTCCTGTACGTAGACAACAAGGCCATGCTGGCCTTGTGTCGAGAGCAGCGACTGGAGCACAGAACAAAGCACATTGCTCTCCGCTACTTCCTTGCTCGTGAGCTACAGCAACGTGGACAGTTGCGGCTTGCGTACGTGGCCTCTGAGGCCAACACTGCTGATGTCTTCACCAAGGCACTTCCGCCTTGTGATCATCAGCGCTTCTGCACTCAGCTGGGTCTTGTGCCCGTCTTGCCTCACTTGCTCTCCTCTTGACCTTGCTTGTACTCTCACATATATATATACCTGCTCTTGCTTGTCTAGCTTTATATATATGTGTGTACTTTTGCATGTGAACTGGCCGTGTGGCCTTGACCCTGTGCTCGGACTGTGTGGTGACTTTGTGATCCACCCTGAGCTTGCTTTGCTTTGCTTTGCTTGACTGGTCTTGTGACTCCTTGTTCTCCTCCACTTTGCCTATGGGGGTGTGTCAGAACATTGTAGCTTATGCTGTTGTGTAGGCTATAGTGGGGTATCCCATAGGGGGTACAACTAATTAGGGTTTCATATTTGTACTCACTTCATTTCATAGTTCATTCATTCTCGTTCTCATTCTCACATGCGCATCCATTCGTCCGCCCCTCGGACGGCCACAAAACGAGCATCGAAGCATCGATAGGGTTACCACAGAGCTTGATTGCATGTATCATGATGCACCACGTGGTGTGACCACGCTGTCTCGGATGCAAGGGGATGGCAGAGGCGTGTGAGCATGTCGGAGGGGGATGCACAATTGGGGATCCGCCAGTGAGAAACGCGATTCGTTCATTATAATTGCCGAATTCGTACAGCGCGACGCTAGTTCAAATTAAGATTTCGGGTATCAGGAAATGACGCCGAGGTAAGCCAGGAACTACTAGTTTCGAGTTCAGATCTGGCAAGGGCACACAATCCGTTCTCACGAGGGCGTTGAAGGAGTATGTAACATCAGCTTAGCGAATTCGTCTCAGGCGAGAAGTTGCGAATCTTCGCAAGGGAAGCTACAAGGCTCGTTAGGTGCAGGTTCAAAAGCGAGAGAACATTCAGCAAGACTGATGCGAATTTCAAAGCATAGCAAACGATCATTTCGGAGCTCCATGTTACCAAAGAATCCCAACCCGAACCAACCCGGAGTAATGAGACTTGCAACACAATTGAGAAGCTCAACGGTAATGTGACCTCGCCACCACGACGGACATAGGTCGTATCCCTGCCTAGTGTCAAGAAGTTAGTGTCAAGAAGTTCGCGCACCCGATTGGTCAAAAACAAATTTCCGGCCAATGCGATTGGTCAAAAACAAATTTCCGGCCAATGCGATTGGTCAATCGATTTTTTTAACCAATCGCATGCGCAAACTTCTTGACACCAACTTCTTGACACTAGGCAGGGATACGCCCATAGGCGTCTCCCATAACAACTTGAAGTACCTCCATATTACCGCGTCGAGTTGATTCGGTTACTCCGTTCGAAAGGACGATGTGCATCATAAGAGCAGGCGACATTCGCACAACACCGAGCTGCGCGAAAGAATACAATCCTTCGTGTAGTCCAATGACCATAGCCCGCACGCTGTCGAATCCGAGGAGGATTCCACCGCGCGAGCGCCGCCATGCCTCGTCACGACGACATCGCGGCGGCCATGCACTGCCCTCCTCGGCGCATCACGCCACTCCGTTCTCGTCGCACCTCGCCTTGCACACACTATGTCTGGATTGATCACGAGTTTCTCTCATTCCTGCCAGGCTAACAATAGAACCTGTTACACGTGGAAATTCGCTTCTTCCGAGCGTGAAGTCTGACCGCTGCTGTTGTCTCTGTGGTCTGCCATAGAGTGCAGAAACTCTAGATTCACGATTCGCAAAACCCTGAGTCTTTCGGCGAGTAGTCAGCGCCTGGCGAGGATTCAGACATGGGGACCGAGCGCAAGCGTAAGATCAGCCTCTTTGACGTTCCGCCGGAGACTAGCCGTCAGAAGGTGGACGGATTAGCGGATGCGACGCTAAACCCGTATAACGGCCGGCCGTACACGCTGCGGTATTTCGACATTCTCGAGAAGCGGAAGACACTGCCGGTGTGGCAGCAGAAGCAGGAGTTTGTGGAGCTGCTGAAGAAAGAGCAGATTATCGTGCTCGTGGGAGAGACGGGTAGCGGGAAGTCTACTCAGGTTAGTGATTGGTTCTTGCTTTACGTTGTAGTAGCATCCCCAAAATCTGCCGTATCGGCTGTAACGTGAACCTCTCTTCACAGCCTTGATCTGCTCTCATAAGGCAGGCTCGGTGCACCAGCTTGTTTTTTTTTTCTGCTGTGCAAATTCTCCATTATGAATGGAACCCTTTTTCCCCATCAAAGCGTGCAATTCCAGATTCGGCTAAGTTGCGTGGTGAAATCCAAGAGGCAGCAGGTGGCATGCACGCGATTGCGGTTCTTGATTCGTCTCCAATCTCACCCCTACTTACATCCCTCCCGTCTTCCCCTGCAATCTTGCACCATACCGCATCGTCCCGTTCCAGATCCCGCAATTCGTGGTGGAGTGTCTGAACGCGACGCCCAAGAAGCAGGTGGCGTGCACGCAGCCGCGGCGGGTGGCGGCGATGTCAGTGGCGCGGCGAGTGGCGGACGAGATGGATGTGACCATCGGTGAGGAGGTGGGCTACTCAATCCGATTCGAGGACTGCAGCGGGCCCAACACCCGCCTCAAGTGAGCCTGTCTGTGGCTGTCAAGGCTCATGTGAATATCTGGTAGTGAAGCTTTAGGGTAGTAAGTTTGTTTCAGGGCTGGTTGCTTGTGCAGAGCGCAAATGCTTGGGGTGCTTTGCAGAGCGCTTATAGCGAGGGTGCAAATGCTAAGGGTGCCTATGGTGAGGGTGCTTACGGTTACCATAGATTGTTGTACATAGGCATGTGGCACGGCATGCACGCAGCAGAATCGAGTGCTACCTTCTGGAGATGTTTGTTTCAATATTGAAATTTGTCACAGGTGACAGACCTCAGTATGTCCTGGTGCTCTTCTTTTCTAACTCTTACGGTTTGAGCCAGGCTGTTGAGCGAGGCCATGTTGTGTACCCCCTGCTGGAGTAGTACAAGGCAATCGCCCTCGTAACGCTGCTCTCTCATTCATACCTTCCATACCGTAACCAGGTACCTGACCGATGGCAGGCTTTTGAGGGAGGCCATGGCAGACCCCCTGCTGGAGCGGTACAAGGCGATCATTCTGGACGAGGTGCATGAGCGCACGCTAGCAACGGACGTGCTGTTTGGGCTGCTCAAGGCCGTGCTGGAGCACCGGAGGGACCTCAAGCTCGTGGTGATGAGCGCTACTCTCGAGGCCGACAAGTTCCAAGGCTACTTCCACGGCGCACCCCTCATGAAGGTCCCCGCAGGCTGCACCCCGTCGAGATCTTCTACACGCAGGTGGGCTGGGGAGGGGAGGGGGGAGGAGGGGTGTGAGAGGGACGGGTGTGTATGGGGAGAGATGTGGTGAAATCCCCCTCATCCCACTCACTGATTCGTTCCAACTCACACTCCGCTCCTCTCTCACCCGCTCCCTCCCCTCCCCTATCCCTTCACAGGAGCCGGAGCGGGACTATTTGGAAGCGGCCATTCGCACGGTGCTGCAGATTCACATGTGTGAGCCGCCGGGGGACATTCTCGTGTTCCTCACGGGGGAGGAGGAGATCGAGGACGCGTGCAAGGAGATATCCCGTGAGATTCGAAATATGGGGGACCACGCTGGCACGGTGAATGTCGTCCCGCTCTACTCCACTCTGCCGCCCGCCATGCAGCAGAAAATCTTCGACGCCGGCCCGCCGCCCGTGAAAGAGGGCGGCCCACCTGGGCGGAAAGTCGTGGTTTCAACAGACGTAGTGATGTCGCTTAAAATCGATGGCTTAGTGTATGTCATTGACCCAGGGCTTTCCAAGCAAAGGGTCTACAATCCAAGGATTCGTGTCGAGTCGCTCCTGGTCTCCCCAATCTCCAAAGCCTCGGCGCACCAGCGGGCGGGTCTAGCCGGCCGAACGCAGCCCGGGAGGCCTAACGGCGGTACCTCTCCTTTCAGCTAACCACCAGGCTACTCAACATCACTCTGCACTACTACGACGAGGCCAACTTCCCTCAGTGTGACTCTCCTGTGCAACCCCCCACTTCTTCTCTTTGCCCCTACCTTCCTTTCCTCACTACTACGACGAGGCCAACTTCCCTCAGTGTGACTCTCCTGTGCAACCCCCCACTTCTTCTCTTTGCCCCTACCTTCCTTTCCTCACTACTACGACGAGGCCAACTTCCCTCAGTGTGACTCTCCTGTGCAACCCCCCACTTCTTCTCTTTGCCCCTGCCTTCCTTTCCGCACTACTACGACGAGGCCAACTTCCCTCAGTGTGACTCTCCTGTGCAACCCCCCACTTCTTCTCTTTGCCCATACCTTCCTTTCCGCACTACTACGACGAGGCCAACTTCCCTCAGTGTGACTCTCCTGTGCAACCCCCCACTTCTTCTCTTTGCCCCTACCTTCCTTTCCGCACTACTACGACGAGGCCAACTTCCCTCAGTGTGGCTCTCCTGTGCAACCCCCCACTTCTTCTCTTTGCCCCTACCTTCCTTTCCGCACTACTATGACGAGGCCAACTTCCCTCAGTGTGACTCTCCTGTGCAACCCCCCACTTCTTCTCTTTGCCCCTACCTTCCTTTCCTCACTACTACGACGAGGCCAACTTCCCTCAGTGTGACTCTCCTGTGCAACCCCCCACTTCTTCTCTTTGCCCCTGCCTTCCTTTCCGCACTACTACGACGAGGCCAACTTCCCTCAGTGTGACTCTCCTGTGCGAACCCCCCACTTCTTCTCTTTGCCCATACCTTCCTTTCCGCACTACTACGACGAGGCCAACTTCCCTCAGTGTGACTCTCCTGTGCAACCCCCCACTTCTTCTCTTTGCCCCTACCTTCCTTTCCGCACTACTACGACGAGGCCAACTTCCCTCAGTGTGACTCTCCTGTGCAACCCCCCACTTCTTCTCTTTGCCCCTACCTTCCTTTCCGCACTACTACGACGAGGCCAACTTCCCTCAGTGTGACTCTCCTGTGCAACCCCCCACTTCTTCTCTTTGCCCCTACCTTCCTTTCCTCACTACTACGACGAGGCCAACTTCCCTCAGTGTGACTCTCCTGTGCAACCCCCCACTTCTTCTCTTTGCCCCTGCCTTCCTTTCCGCAATACTACGACGAGGCCAACTCCCCTCAGTGTGACTCTCCTGTGCAACCCCCCACTTCTTCTCTTTGCCCATACCTTCCTTTCCGCACTACTACGACGAGGCCAACTTCCCTCAGTGTGACTCTCCTGTGCAACCCCCCACTTCTTCTCTTTGCCCCTACCTTCCTTTCCGCACTACTACGACGAGGCCAACTTCCCTCAGTGTGACTCTCCTGTGCAACCCCCCACTTCTTCTCTTTGCCCCTACCTTCCTTTCCGCACTACTACGACGAGGCCAACTTCCCTCAGTGTGACTCTCCTGTGCAACCCCCCACTTCTTCTCTTTGCCCCTACCTTCCTTTCCTCACTACTACGACGAGGCCAACTTCCCTCAGTGTGACTCTCCTGTGCAACCCCCCACTTCTTCTCTTTGCCCCTGCCTTCCTTTCCGCACTACTACGACGAGGCCAACTCCCCTCAGTGTGACTCTCCTGTGCAACCCCCCACTTCTTCTCTTTGCCCATACCTTCCTTTCCGCACTACTACGACGAGGCCAACTTCCCTCAGTGTGACTCTCCTGTGCAACCCCCCACTTCTTCTCTTTGCCCCTACCTTCCTTTCCGCACTACTACGACGAGGCCAACTTCCCAAGGGAACTGAATCCTTTCCGCAACTCACTGCCCGTATTCTCTCCCCCCCCTCTACACCCACTAGGCTACTGAACATTGCCCCACACTACTATGGCTTGGCCAACTTCCATCCGTACGACTCAATATCATGCTGCGTCTTACTGCTGTTCTTCCCTCTCCCCCTCATATCCATGCAGGCTGTTAGACACCGCCCCACACTACTATGGTCTGGCCAACTTTCCTCAGTGTGAGGCGCGGCGGGTGCTTGAGCGCATTGTGCTTGTGCGTGGCCGTTGGGGAGTCCTGGCAGCTAAAATAGGGGATAGAGATGAGGCAGCTAAACGTCAAATCGGAGTTAACAATGAGACGAAAGCTGTCTGGTTGAGCCTACTTCGAACGAGACGAAAGCTGTCTGGTTGAGCCTGACGAGGCTGTGGGCCCTGATAAAAAGAGCAGCGGCGAGCTGGTTTGGCATGTGAGTGCTTTCGAAGAATGGGGTTTTGAATACTGTATGTTGAAAACATTTATTACCGGTGAATCAATGATAATGCCAACCAGACTGAAATTGCATATTTCCATGTACGGTAGGTACGGTAATGGAGTACTATCAGATGAACATGATCAATCAGGAAAATCTTATTAGGGTTTCTAAGCAATGCCTTACAACCTCCATCATACACACTATTACCTCTCCTCTGTAGAAATATTTGTACACCCTGCACTGCAAGCAACCAACACAGCCAGGCCTTTTGTATGCAACTCTCCTCATGCAGCGATGTGAGACATCACTCACCCCTGATCTCAACCCTTGCCCACCACTGCCGCTGCCACCACTGCTGCGGCCACGGCTCCGGCTGCTGCCCATCACTGCTGCCGCCACTGCTGCTGCCACTGCTGCTGCCGCCACTGCTGCTGCCACTGCTGCTGCCACTGCTGCCACCACTGCTGCCGCCACTGCTGCTGCCACTGCTGCTGCCACTGCTGCTGCCACTGCTGCTGCCATTACTGCCACCACTGCTGTCGCTACTGCTGCCGCCACTGCTTCTGCTGCCACTATTGCCACTGCTGTCGCCACTGCTGCTGCACCCACCATGCTCGCCTCCCTCAATGCTCCCTTGCTCGCCCTTCTCCCCAGCTTCCCCGCCTTCCCCATCCGCTTTCGCTCCTGCTCTGCCTCGCCTCCCCCTCCCCTTCCCCGTCCCCCCTGCTGATGACCGGTCTCCCCTCCATCATAAGAATTGCGAGGCAAGCGTTTCTATGCAACTCCCCTCATGAACACAGTGGTCTCTTGCCCAACCACCCCTGCACCTGCTGCTACTGCAAGGCACCAGTTCCACACGACCTTTCTCCACCGCTCTGCAGCATGCAAGTTGAGCCATGCACAACCATTATTCCATGCCTCACTCCTCCGTATGCATGCATCCCCTCATTCTTCACACCCCTTGCCCAAAGCCCCTCCTCAGTCTCCTTTAGATATCCATCATCACTCCCTGCCACCCTACATGCCTATCCGCCTGCGTGCATCGTCGCTATATATCCAACCCCCTTCTGACGGCCACAGAGCAGTCAGCTTGGTCAGGCCGGTCAAATGTTGCAGCCCAGCATCCGCAATGTTACCCAGAGCAAGCCTCTCAAGCCATGTCAGCCTCCCCACATGCACCATGCCAGTATCTGTCACACCCTTGCATCCAGAAAGCCACAGCTCTTTGAGAGAGGAGAGACCTGTCAAGTGCGGCAAACCAGCATCAGTCACCTTGATATTGTGGAGCAAGAGGTGCTTGAGGCTGGTCAAGGACCCAATGCCTTCCAAGGCACAGTCTGAGATGTTAGTGGCTATGAGATTTAGCTTCTCTAGCTGTGGCAGCCTGTAGAGGCGCCTAATGTTCTCTGCACTGAAGCCTGAGCTATTGCTCAAGTCAATGCTCTTGAGGTGGGTCATTGTGGACACATGGCCGATGATGCTGTCGGAGAGGATGTGGAGATTTCCTAGATTCAGAGCAATTTCTTCTGATGCTAACTTGATTCGCTGGAGGTGATGGATGAAGAGGGCATGAATCACAAGGAAAGGAATGACCATTGTGACAACCTTACGTTGGCTTAGATGCACAGCCCATGGAGCGTCCAAGGTCTAGACGCTACCAACTAGAGACTGGACGCTAGACGCAGCGGACGCAGGACGCTTGGGATTTATTTTGGGCAGCCTTGGAAAAAAAATCAAACAATGCATGGCCTGTGAAACCGATTCACTCAGTACTCACCTCCCATGCAGTCTTCCGGTCGCCTTTACTCTGGCTGATTTGCAGATCAAGATACAGCTCTGTATCTTTGATCCTTTGCCATTCTTTACATATTGCTAATTCCTCCATGACACGTGGCCAATTCAACTCCTGCACCTCCCTCCTCCTCTCTTCCCTTTCCACTGCCAACTTTGCTCTCATTTTATCCTCTCCCTTTCTAGCCTCCTCACTCAGTTCCCCCTTGGCTGCTGCCAACTCCCTCATTGTATCTTCCACCTGCACGCCAAGCGCCCTCATTCTGGTTTCCATCGCCTCTGTCCACTCCTGTGCTCCGGCCATACTCGCCATGACAGCTCCAACAGCCTCACTCAATCCCGCCATCTGAGAATTGCCGTGCTTCCTATACATGGCAGCACACAGCAGACACACAGATGGCAGCACATGGGAACACAACACAGAACATATGGAATGAGAAGATTGGAGAATAGGGAGAGAACGTGTGAGGGAAACACTAGGAGGATGTGGAAGTCACGAGATGAATGAACGGGTCGAAACGAGCAAAGATCCTTTGATTCTAGGCAGCAGGAATATCCTATGATGTGATGGCATACCCCATGAGAGCATTGCAACAACGAGGACATGTAAAGTTTAGGAAATATGCGGGCATACGCGATGGCAGCTGCGAGAAGGAGGGCGATCAGCAGCCCTGGCAGCAGCATGGGCACTGAAGTCATCTGAGCCATGGCTGATGGGGCGAGCCCAATGCAAGGCGTGCGCCTGTGCAGTGAGGTGCGGCAGGAGCAGGGGAGGGGTGCAGGGAGCAGGAGAGGCATCGGCAAGATAGGCAAGTTCTGTACTGAGTGCACAGGTGGAGACAGATGGAGAAATAGGAATGGGGGGCAGACGACGGGTACAGATGAGGCTACCAAGCAAAATCACACACACGAAAGAACAAGCTGATAATCAGACCGTAAGGCAGGTGGGGCTGGGGACAAGCAGCCACAACGGAAGGGGGGACAAGCGGCCCCAAGGGGGGGGGGGGGGGGGGAAGTGTGGTGGCGGGGGGTTTGCAGGGAAGGGAGGGAGATAGTCGTGCATTGAGTGCACAGGAGCCAAAGATGGAGAGAGCGAGCAGTAGACTGGCGGCGAGAAAATCAGGATCATATAAATGAGTGCCAAAGGCCAGTACCTCAACTCATTCACCTCGTTCTTCACAACGCACCTCCTCTCCTCCAACACTAACCCTCGGTCACTCTGCCGTGCCGCCTTATCCGCCGCTGCTGCTGCCACCTCCCCTTTCACAGCTGCCAACTCCTCCTTCACTGCTGCAAGTTCCCCTCTCAATGTTGCAAACAGCCCTCTAACTGCCTCACTAAGCTCATTATCCTCCCTTTCTACAGCCATTGTCGCAATCCACTCCCAACCAGCGTTTAGGTAGTTGTAAGCAGTGATTGGGTTTAGAAAAGAGAAGCTTCCTTCTGCAAAAGTGGACAGGAGTGAGGAGCAGTGGACTAAATTATGGTGGTGTGAAGAGAGGCCAGAAGCAGAGACAATTGATAAGAGGGATGTCCAAACGCAAGGGAGAAAGAATGAGACAGTTTTCGCTTAGGCAACAATGACTATGTTTGCTGCTGCATGGCAGGTCAGCCACAAGGCCCGTTTACCACATAGTAGGTTAACCACAGGATACAATTACCTAAGGATGGTTCTTTTGCATGATAGGTCTGCCACAGTTAGGTTCACTACATGAGCAATCACGTGCAGGCTTGTCAGTCACATGCTGAGTCACTCATCTTGTAGCTTTGCAAGGCTAGCTAGCTCAGACCTAAGCTGGAAAATACACTAAGGGAGCTGTGCATACTGTGGAAATGCATTGACGCACAAGGAGTACACAAGGAAGAAGGTAAGGGAGAAGTGACAGAATAAGCGAAGTAGGTGGTCAAGGAATCTCGTGGTCATGGAAGATTCAAAGGCCCTCAATTGAACCCAAGTGATCATACCCGCATCTCATATTACATTTATCCCAATCAAGTGTAATAGCTCTGAAAGAGGATAACCAGAATATCATCACCATGAAGCTAGGGTACATATGGGTAGATTACTTGCAAAGTCACGCAGGCTCTTACAGTCGCTGGGGCGATGGAGATCAAACGACTGAGATGCCCAGCCACGTGCAACACCTCCAGACTGTTCAATAGTGCAGAAGAATTACGGAAAAAAACTAGTAACAAAATTGACACCACAAACAAAAACCAAAACTTTCATCACCAAGCTTAGGCACCACTAGCATAAGGTTCAAGCTTCCGCATTGCTCACACATCAACACAACACGACACATGCTTCTGTTCTTTACTGTTAACTAGCCGCCCTCGTTCATCGTCCGTCTACATCCAGCGTGACTCTACGCTCCAAAGCCCTATTCTTCTGGTCGTCATTCTCCATCCGCCACTCACCCTAAAACCTCGGCATCTCGCTGTCCCTCGGTCTCCGCCCTGTCCTTCCCATTTTTATGCATCTCTCATGCACCACCTTATCCCCTCATTCATCGGCGCCCTTCTCCCTCTTTACGTTCTCCAACCTTCCACCACCTTCGCCCTTCTCTCACTCGCTCTCCTCCATTCTACCGGGTCCTCCCCTTTTTTCCACGCAGCAACGAAAGGCGGGTGCTCAGAAGGGAGCCAAGGGTGCAACCTACAACCCGAGACAGAGCAACTGGGTTGGCGTAATCGTGTACTAGGAACGAGGAAAGGAAACAGCAAAGACGGTTGTGCTTACCGTGAACGCGAACGTGGAGCGAAGTCCCTTGAGTGTACCGCCGCGGCAGTGCTTGTCAGGATCGTAGACGCCTCAATCGACAAAAGTCTGCTTGCTATTGTCGACGACGTTCTCCTCGTTCTCACGATTCCAACGATATGCGCAGCGGTTAATTCTGTCAACGTTTCACTAACGTTTGACTGTTTTCTGTTTCACCAACGCTTGACTGGCGCTTCACTGGCGCTCTGCAGAGGAATTCGGTTCGCGATTCCTTCACTAGCGTCTGGCGATGCCTTCTTACTGAAATTCGCGTCACTGGTGCCTCACGGGGCCTTCGCGAATGCTTTCGCGGGGAATTGACGGAGATTTCACTGAGCTACGACAAAAGTGTCACCAACAAGATTTGAACACTGGTTTTCACCAAGCGAGAGATTTCCCAAGTGTTGTATTCAACTGACTAGTACAAATGCTTTATAGTCTACCCCACACACACATGTAACTGAACCAATACGTGTCCCACATAGTAACAAACTTGTCCCACACGCCAAGTGTCACGTCGAGTCGCACACGCAACCCCAACACTTTCGTCGAACACTCCCCAAGTCCGAAAAACAGAAACTTGTTGAACACGCCATGAACCTAACCCAATTTCTTCCCCCGTCAACCAATTCTTCTCCTCTAGTCAAATCTTCACCAATCTTCCATTTCACTCCAACTTCTTCCCGTAGCTTCCACTCCCGTAGCTCACGCGCCAAGCAACTTAGTAGCTTCTTAGATTCTTCTTCTTGCTTCTTCAACACGCCACCGCCATAAAGTCGCCGTAGGTCCGAATTTCACCAAGTCGCGCCGTCACTTAGGTGTGGTTTGTCGAACCATTCCAACAATCTCCCCTGTGGTTCGACAACCACACACTTCTCCTTTGCTCCTTGTCATCTAACTCGGCTTCATACTCCCCTGAAGCATTGCCACACAGTTCAGTGCATTCGCTCGCAATCGACTCATGCGCGCATGCGCTCGTTGAATCTCCGTGGCAACCGCAACAGGGACTGGCGCGGGTGCGGGTGCCCTGAACCTCTTTATCCCTTCCGAAAGGTTGGGATGATTGGTTCGGATGTGAGACGGTGATGCCACAACGAGGATGAATCATGGAATGATGTGTGGTCACCACTCACGGATGGACGAGATGAACGGTGAACGGTGAGATTGTTGGAGGTTGCGTGGGGGAGTTTTGCCCCCAACCACCAACAGAGATGAATCGATAACCCATCACGGATGGGCGTGCAGCGCGAGGGACAGATGCTATGATGGGAGCCGCAGCGCGTCATCGCCAAACTAAGGATCTGTAGGGTATCCTACGCAAAAGCAGGGGTATCTCTGTTGTTGGGTTGCTTCAGCCCACCAAGTGTTGATGGGAACCGATCGTATCTGCGCAGTTGGGGTGGGGTGGGATTTACCCACTTCACTGAGGGCTTCGATATGGAGAAAATGAGGTTTCGTGCACCAGCAAGGCAACTTGGAAACAACTCGCGGACAAAATGAGAAGTTCCTCACATCTCTAATGGGATGTGCAGTAACGAGATTATGCGGAATGCTGTTTCAGGTTACACGTGTTTGGCGAAAGCGGTGCATTTTGAATGTAATTCGCGCATCCCAACCCGATCCAACCCCACGGCTCCATTCCCTCACACACCTCCATCACTTTCAGCCTCCCTTTCCCTTATCTCACTCCCATCCCCTCCCAGGCGTGGAGGCTGGAGCTAGCGCCGCTGTGTGCGAGCAAGCAAATTCTCCAGCCTCGCTCATAGCTCCAGCTGTCGTCGTGCTCTCTCCATGCACGCGCTTCTCCTAGCCCCTCCCGCATCGCATCCCGCACATCATATGAAGTCACGATCTTGCTCGTCGCAGCCGAATTCGCGACTTATACCGTCGGATTTGGTAGACCTATTCCTCAGCCTCACGACGACGTGATGCTCCCGGGCGCACGCATGTACCGGCGACAGAGGCCTTCGCTGCGCCCGGCATAGCGAATGAGGGAATGTAGTGAACAGCCATGGGCGAAACGTCCAGAATAGTGATGAGCGACTTATTCCCTGAATTCGCACATCAAATGCGAGGCGGCTCGTTATGGCGGTGCGACACGACCATACGAAGACATGCACGGCGAAATGGAGATGGGCGCAAGGGGGGTGGCGTGCTCCTTTCCGCCAAGTGGCGACGTGCAGAGGGTGCGGTCCAGTAATCCATGCCACCGTTTGCGCGCTGCGATACTGCGACCGCTTACGCGATTCGATCCTGCGTGAAAGCGAAGCGAAGTAGAAGGGCGATGGGTGCGACAGCAAGGCGAGTGGGGCATGGCAGCAATGAGCGCGAATCGCACACATCCTCTTCTTCTCCTCCTGCACGTTTATTGAACCCTTCTCTTCAATCGCAGCTCTAACTTCACAGCATCCATTTCCTCGGTCTTCGCTTCCTAGCCACATCTTTTGAGCACACATCCTTACCACCTGAAGCCGCTGCCCATTACTCTCTTCTTCAGTGCCTCTGCAATATCGTTGCTGCCGCTTCCCTGGCAAGCGCCTCGCTCCTTGCCACCCTCCGTCGAAGCGCTTCGCTCGCCAGTCGCTGCTGCTACTCGGTACACGAGGTCCGCCCATGTGCTGCCTCGGTTGTTACTGCCACCTGCTCGCACTCCAGGTACGCCTATCTCTGCTCTGCTCCCACCTTCTCACTCTCCCAGATGCGCCCTGCTCTGCTCTCACCGTACTAAATGTGTCCTGCTCCTCCCACCGTGCACTGGCGTACCAGATGCAAATTGTGCCTTGCCTGGCCTGAGTGCATCGCCTCTTTGGTTATCACATGTGGCTTTCTGCTCGCCCATCTCACCCTCGCCGCGCACGTCCACTTACGTACCTCTTAGTGCCGCCCTTCCTTTTTGCTGAACGACTGGCTTACCATGCCACGACTTTTCCCGCACTTAACCCTCCCATCACACTTCTTCCCACTGCCCTTCTGCGCTATCCTCCCCTCCGTTGTGCCTTTCCTATCTTCTGCTTCTTACTCTGTCCCCCCTGCTTCTTCCCCTCCACCCTCTACCTCTCCATCCCCCCCTCTGTTACTCCCTCCCCCCCTCTGTTACTCCCTCCCATCCCTTCCCCATCCCGCTCCCCACTCCATTTCCGCGGCCCACGGTTCATTTCCTTGCTTTTCGCTTCCTAGCCTTCGGCTCTCTTTCTTTCATCGCTTTCGTATGCACATCGTTACTGTTAGTAGCCTCTGTCCTTCCTTTTGGCATTCCTCTCCTCTTCATTGCCTCTTGCCATCGCCGGTGGTGGAGCGCCTCGCTCCATTCTGCTCCCACCCCACCGGAGTAGAAGGCTCCTTGCTCTCAACCGGCGCCGCTGCTGCCGCCTGCCACCTCTTGTCGCCTCGCCCTTCCCTCGCCGCTCTCTTGATTGCTCCTCCGTTTGGCACCTCCAGTGAAGCGCCTCGTTCGCAGCATACCTGCACCTCCAGGTACGGCCTCTGCTCTGCTGTGCTCCCACCGCCTCAACCTCCTAAATGCGCACTTCTGTGCTCACCATACCATCTGTGTCCTGCTCTATATGTCCTCCTCCTCCCACTTTACCGTAGTAGCAGACGCCTCTTGCTCCTTGCCTGGCGTGAATCCATCCCCTGTTTGGTAATCATATTTGTCTTGCCGCTAGCCCATCTCACGTGTAGTTATAACCCTTGCCACTCACGTCGCCTTACCTCCGTGTGTTGCCACTCATTCCTCTGTACGGCTGGATAGCATTGCCTACGTGCCCCATCTGTCCTCCTGTACAGATCATGCCGTCCTCCTCGCTCCCCTGCTCCTGCTGCCTCCCGCCCTCCCTATCCTTGCCACACCTCACTGTGCTGTGCAGGCGCACGCCCTGCATTGGGCTCGCCCCATCAGCCATGGCTCGGATGACTGCACTGTCCGTGCCGCTGCCAGGGCTTCTGGTCGCCCTCCTCACTGCTGCCATCGCTTCCATTGCTGTCGTCCGCATCATCATGCCACTTGGAAGGGAAGCTTTCTGTCGTGCCCCAGTTACGGATGATGTGAGTGAATAGCGCCATAACATATGACTTTTCATGCCCACCGCCCCAAGTTCGCAGGACATGAATTCCACATCGTCTGCCTCTCGCCATGCATGTGTGCTCTTGTCTTCCGTGTTGCCTCTTGCAGCTTCCACATGACACTGGCAGCCACGAAGTCAACAACCCTCTAATGCTCCCGTCTGCTTCCCTGCCGCATGTGAGCCCTTGTCATAGTGTACCATCAGTATTCTTATGCAGGACCAGCAGTACACTAAACACTGAATATTTACGAGTTTTTTGTGTGGACCTGCGTGCACGTATGTATCCCACTTTGCATGTCCGCATGTGTTGTCTATCTCTCAGGATAACGCTACTGTGACGTGTGAAAATGCCACATGCGGACCTGACTCTCAGGCTAATGCCGCCAATGCCATCACCGCATCTCTTCGGCATGCCCACGCTCACAACACACCTATTCACTCCGTCCACACCATGGTACGTATTGGGATGACTGACGCTCTAAAATTGCCACTTTGCTTCAACAAACCACAATACTGCCGTTTGAGATTCTGCACATTTCCCTTTCTGATGTTGGCTCTCACATCACATGGCATGTACTCACACACATCGATATATTCCCCTTCTTGTTCCACATGTGCAGTCTCCAGGTGCAATTCATCTGCTCGTGCTGTATTTTGCCATCTGTACTGTGGGAACGCTGCTGTGGGGGATGGGCGTGACCCACACGCAAGTCAGAGCATGGGTGCATCAGCAGGGCTTGGCTGTGACGGCTGGGCTGATGAAGCTGAAGAGTGCAACCAAGTGCCTTCTGGTATGCCACGCGCTCTGCCCTCCACCACTGCAGCTTTGCATCTCTGCCTTTTATTTTAAGCGCTCGCTCTTGTTTCCCATGCTGCCGCACATCCTCCATCTCTTGTTCTCCCATCTCTCTTCCTCCACTCTGTATCTCCCTCTCCATGCTGCAGCCACGTGGAAGCTTCTCCCTACAGCACAGCCCCATGTGAGTACGCCCTGTCTCTCGTGCATGAGCATGTCCCCACCTCTCGTGTCAAAGGCTGTGTGTGTTTTTGAGAATTCTCAAAAACACTCTACCTCTCGTGTCAAAGGCTATGTGTGTGGATTCACTGTGTGAAGCGCCTTGGTTGGTCCTGTATTGCCCTTATGTACGTGTTCCTGTATAATTTGCCAATTGGTCCTCCTCTACCCAGCTTTCGTGCTTTCTGTCTTCTGTGGTTTCATGTCCATTGTCTTGCCTTTTCTCTCTTGGTACATGTCGCCTCCTCTTATGATGTTATACAACTCCCATGTCAGGCGTTGTGTATTTCAAAATTTCCATTCTTTTGACATCATAATCGCAGCCGCTCTCCCATCTCCCATAGTGGCTAAAGGTGATTTCACTCTGCAGGCTGGCTATTTTCCTCATATTCTTTCCAGATGCCCCACTCACATTTACTCTCTGAACTAGCTCCCCATCTTGTTTTCATTCCTGCTGCCATACATTCTGCCGTGCTTGACTTGTATGCTACCGTGCCATGTGCACTGCCATGTCTAGAAAGTGTGCCTATTCCAGGATGCAGCGAGTGGGTGAGGTTGTTGTGTCCGTCATGGAAAATATCGCTGGAGTGCACGAGCTGAAGGAGGCGGTGGAGATGAAATTGGGGGCGCTTGGCGTGCAGCTGGAAGAGACAAGGAGGGAGATGAGAGGGGAGGTGGAGGAGAGGGAGAGAGAGAGATGACGACGATGGTGGATGAGTTGCGGCGCATGTTGACTGTTGTGGGAGAAAGGAATGAGGCAACTGCTACTGTGATGAAGGAGTGGGAGAGAGATTTGGCGATAGTGAAGGGGGGATTGGGTGAACTTAAGGATGCTATGATTGAGCAACTGGATGTGGCTGAGAGAAGAAGAGACTCAGATTTGAGAGAGCTGAGAGGGGAGGGTAGACAGGGAGAGGATGAAATGCGAGCGGAGTTGGCAAGAGAGAGGGAGGAGAGGAGGAGGGAGATGCAGGAGGTAGAGAGGAGAAGAGCAGCAGACTTGACAGAGATGAGAAGGCAGGTGGAGGTGAGGGAGAGGGAGCTGAGAGCAGTGAGGATCGAGGTGAATGCAGTGAAGGGGGAGGTGAGTGCAGTGAAGGGGGAAGTGACAGCAATGAAAGGGGAGGTGGCAGGAGCGGAAAGGGAGATGGCTGAGCAGAAGCAGTCAACTGCATTGCAGCTGGAGGAGGTTGAGAGAAGACGAGTGGCGGAGATGAGGGGGCAGGTGGAGGAGAGCGAGAGAGAGTTGGCTGCAGTGAAGAAAGAGTTGGCTGAACACAGGAGTCTTCTCATGAAGATGGATGTTGACCTGCAAATCAGGGAGAGTGAAGGCGATCGGAAGACGGCATGGGAGGTGAGTGCTAAGGGAACTCTTTCACATAGCATGCATGGTTGGGCAGGGCATGCATGGTTGGACGGGGCATGCATGGTCAGAGCGTGCATGGTCTGTTTTTGTACTGATGGTCGTTCTCTTTCTTTCATTCATTCCCTTCTCATACATTATCCCCAGCGAATCAAATCAGCATCACGAGGACGTAATCTGGATCTAGAGCATCTCAGCGGCATTTCAAACGCCATGCTTGGCCATGTGTCCACAATGACGCATCTGAAGAAGATTGACTTGCGTTTTAGCTCAGGCTTCAGTGCAGAGGGCGTCAAGCACCTCTACGGGCTGCCACGGCTGGAGAAGTTAGACCTCAGAGGCGCAGACATCTCGGGCAATGCCCTGGAAGGCATTGGGTCCTTGACCAGTCTCAAGAGCCTTTTTCTCGATCGAACGAAGATGACCAATGGTGCTATTCCGCACATTACAGGCCTTTGTTCTCTGAGACATTTAAGTTTTTCTGGATGCAAGGGTGTGACAAATGCTGGCATGGTGCATGTGGGGAGGCTGACAGGGCTTGTGCAACTCTGGCTGAATGGCACGGCAGTCACGGACGATGGGCTGCAGCAGCTGACTGCCCTGTCCAAGCTCACATTGCTCTGGCCACCAGAAGGGGGTGAACTCAAGAATATTGATGCACGCAGGCGGATAGGCAGGTAAGGTGGCAGGGAGCTGTGGTGGTAAGGAAGGTGAGATGAAGGATAAGTTGAGTGTGACTGTTTAGGGGACTGAGGAGGGGCGTGGAGGCAAGGGGTCGGAAGAATGAGGAGAGACATGCATGCGGAGGAGTGAGGCATGGAATGGCAGTCGTGCACGGCTGATCTTGCATGCTGCAGAGTTGGTGATTGGTTGTGTCGTGCCTTGCAACTGAAAAGCAGGAAGTGTTGCTGCTGGGGCAAGAGACCATTGTATGCATGAGGGGAGGCTGCATCAGACATGCTTCGGGGCAGGCTGTACAGATGTGAAGTGGTGTATAGCAGAAGCCAGTATATGACACTCTGAGGGCATATTGTTGGCTGAGGTGGTGGGTGGCGTTAAAGCCCGTAGGCAAAATAGTGACCCCCCCCTTCTAGTTGGGTCCACTAGAAATAACGTGACACACTTTGTATTTTGGAGGGTTGAAGTGTTGAGTTTTTACATTTTTTTTTAGCCCACTCGGATAATGAACGACTCTATTCAGTTTGTTCAGGTCGCAAGCATATGCCAATGTGTCGCAAGGTGGCGACGTGCAATTTCCATTCAGCAAGTGCAATTCTCATTGAGTAGCAAGCGCAATTCACACGGAACAACTTCCATGGAAAAAAACAGCACAGAATTACATACCGAGGGAAGAAAAACAGAGTTCAATACCACGAGGGCGACGGGACTAGAGGGTAAACGAGGGGGACGGTGTGAAGGGGGGAACATGAGGGCGACGGGACGCGAGTGTGAACATGGGGAGGGCGACGGGATGGGAGGTGAGAGAGGAGAGGAGACGGGAGGGTTGATTCAAGGCAGGCGCCAGGCCGACGGGAAGGGACGGGAGGGGACAGGAGGGACACGACGGGACGTGACGTGATTTTCAGGAATATTGGTCAATTTGCAACTCAATTCCATCCTCGCACCACCGTGTGTGCAGTGGAGAGGCGAACTCGAAGGCGACGGGATGGGCGAAACAGCGGGTGATGGGAGGTGAGAGACGAAGGGAGACGACGGGAGAGGAGGGGAGAGAGCGAGGGCGACGGGAATGTAAGGGAGATGGCGACGGCGAGGGAACGTGAGAATGGAGAGGCCAGCGGGATGGGAGGGGAAGTCGCGAGAGACGTGACGGGTGACGGAACGAGTGATGGGAAAGAGACGTGACGGGCAACGGGACGGGATAGCAAGGATGCGGAAGGCGAGGGGACATAGCGATGCGACGGGCAGCGATGGGAGATAGCGATGTGGTTTAGTGGGAGAGAGGAACGTGCGGGAAATTCAAGGCGAGCGCGATAGCAACGAGGTGAGTAACGGGAAGGGAGAGAGGAGGGGCGATGGGAGGCAGAGGAAGGGCGAGCGCGAGGGCGACGAGTGGGCGACTGTATGGGAGGCACGGTGGGTGACGCCATGGACGGGGAGGAAAGCGAGAGGGGCAGACGATGACGGGGGGATTCACCATTGCGAGAAAGCGAGAGATGGGGAGGGAGAGATAGCGAGGCGACGGGATGGGAAGGGAGAGATAGCAAGGCGACGGGCAGCACGACGCGATACACAAGGCGAAAGGAAGGACGGTGATATAGCGAGGCGACGGGACGGAAGACAGGATCGCGACGCGACGGTCGACGGGACGACGTCGGGACGGACGACAAACACACGATCGGAGCGGGAGGGCGAGCGAGATGCGATGGGAAGGCAGCGAGAGGGCATTCGAAATGGCACATAGTACTACACAACCACGCCACCTTCACTACGCGTCTAAATTGATAGATCAACGGCCTAAGTTAACGGTTCTATGGCTAGACAGGCTACTTATAACTAAGAAGCCATAAAAAAACGATTGTATGAACTAGAGGTACTTCACCCAGTCCCAACTTGAACCTGAAGCTGGGCCCAAAATCGCAAGGACGTGCGTGAACGATCGCAGTGCTAGTGTCGTGCAGCTTCCCATACAGATATGCGACGCTTGACGTGCTGCGTTGCTTTTTTTTGTTTTGGCGGGAACCAATCAGAAGTTTTCGATCAGCAGAAACGCTCACAATGAAACAGTGCAAAATTGTTTCGCTCGACAAGCCCTTTTTCAAGCTGGCCCCGGGTTCACTATTTTGCATTTCGGTTTTAAACGGGAGGGTGAAGCAGGAGGAAGTGGGCATATTTGAGCCATGCTTGCATCACTTCCGGTGCAGGTTGTACATAGTTGGGGAATGTTACAGAATCAATATTCATAGAGTAAATTGTTTCTTTATACACAGTTTCCAAGTCGCAACTTCTTGCTAGAGACCAGTGAGAGCATTCTATTGGCTGTGATGAAGAGCAGAGGTGAAGCAGGAAGGAGTGGGATGTGTTTGTACATGGGACGCGACAAGGGCTGATGACATCCATGTATGCTGCTGCACATTTACCAAAGATTCATCAAGTAATTACCGTATTCCATCCTCACAAACACACTCTTGCCCCTCTGAAGCACATGCTGTGAATGATACCAGCAGCTAACAACAAAAGGTCTAAGAACCCGACTTGCATGCAGGAGATTGCGACTTGCATCCTGCCTGAAATCAGTTCAGTGCGCTTTGCGCCAATGCATGCAACGCACAGCTGCACTACAACGCATTACTCGCATATCATTGTGTGTCACCACAGCTCACCACAACGCACCTATTTGCTTCACAATGGCTACCGTATTTGAATTGGTTCCTAAACAAGGCAGGGCGAGAGGTAAGAGGGAAAGTTTAGGCATGAGAGAATAGCTGGCATGGGTGAAGAGGGAGAATGGGTGAAGAGGGAGAATGGGTGAAGGATGGAAATGGGTGAAGGGCAAGCATAGTGAATGGTGGGTCGGGGAGGGGTAAGAATAAGGATTCTTCAAGGTGAGAGCATGAGAGCAAACTCGTGCTGGTTCTCATGATACACCCTACTTGGGTGGCGCATCGTGTGGGGCTGGATAAGGCCGGGGATGGCCAACGGGCTTGCTGAGAGTTTAGACTAGCTCAATGACTGAAATGAAGGAAACTTCAAAAACATTTCACACTGGTGCAGGCGGTTGCATAATGAGGGCCAGCACCAGTGACATAACCCTCGAGCTTCATGACGTATTTGTGGCTCGACAAATTGTCCTCATCAAACTAAACTATCTGGGTGACTCTTCCTGTAGATGGAGCAGCACAGGGAAAACCACACCTTCAGATAAGGCATGTACTGCTGATCACTTATCTGCTGTGATTACATCTCAGATGTTTTTACCCATCAGCCCGAACTAGCTGGGTGGGTGACTCTTCAGACATGGAGCAGCACAGGCATACACAAACCTTCAGACATGGCATGTGATGTGCCCTCATGTGCTACGTTTGCACCTCATGATCTGTGATGTGGAGCTTACGCGCACAAGTGCCGCGCGACCAGCATGAGCTAAAACCCATGTTGTCACATCCACGGCATCTGCTGCCTCGCTCGTCCTTGCCACGACTCCTCACCTCCCTCCACCTACTCCCCTCCCTGTGACTGGCTCTACTCACTGCCACCACTGCTGCTACTGCTTGACCCATGGCTGTCTGTCAGGCTGCCAGGCTGTGTGCTGCAGCCGTGGGTTAGGCTGCTTACAGTTAGTTTGGGGCATGTGCAACTGGAGTGGGAAAGGGAGTTTTGGGGGGGGAGGGAAGGAAGTAGTGAGTGCACAAGATAGTAGGGGCGCTCTGCAGAGCGAGGAGGGTGGAGGAGGAGGGCAGCTGATGATGGAATCGCACAGTGGAGACTCATTTGACCTAATCAGCAGAGTAGCACCAGAAGCGCCACACTGCGTGGATAGGCAATGAATGGATGAAGAGAACGAGGAGCATGACAAGGGAGGAGCACGACTCTCCATTACAGTCATTTTCGGGAGGGGAGGAAGGAGGGGTTGAGGGAAAGGAGGGAGGTAGAGCCTTGACTGTGAGGTTGGGGGGATGAGGTGGGGGGAGGGAGGCGGGGTGTGAAAGGATGTTTCTCATAATACCATACGTCACTCAAGAAGGTGGTCAGGTCCGTCCGTCTGCCATTTCACTCTCTCTCCTCACGCACGGTAGTGGCGCCGCGCCGACAAATGTTTCACTTCATGTATAACGAAAAAAAGTGTGCAAGCACCTGCAAAATTTAGAGGGAGGGTGTCAGGGTGCGATGTGGGCAGCCTGATATTCTAGCTCTATTTCGTACTCCAAGAAGCCTAAACTTTTGCGTGACCAGCATGCAAGGAACAGTGGGAGCTAACCAAGGTAAGGTGCTGGTTGTGTAGGAAGGGGAATGGAGTAGTTGAGGGGAGAGGGCGATGGAGGTTGCGGCGATCTGCAGAGAGAGGAGGCGGAGCTGGAAGTCAGCTAACAGAAAGCCAGCACGCAGATTCATTGCACCTGGCGCCAGAAATGCCAAACAAATGCAGGACATGGATGTGAAGGCAGAAGGAAAGGATAGAGAACAATTGAGATTCCTCCACCATTCTGGCGAAGGTACCTTCCATCAAGCTTGGCTTCTCTCACCAATGGGTCAGCACCATGCTCTCCCTGCTGATGTCAGCTGCGAAGTCGCACGCATTCCACCCAGCACTGCCAGTGGCACACCGCAGCAGTGCCTTCACCCACGGCGAACGCGAGGGGGAGAGCAGCCACTGAGATTGTGTCGAGCAAGGACTCTCTGGATGGGGGGGTGAGAGGGACGGAGCGGGCAGTTGATGAAATTGCTGTAACTCACTTTCATGTGACACTCTCCTGGCCAAATATACAACGGGCAGCTAACCATGGCAGGGTCATATTGGTGTGGGAAGATGAAGGGATTGGGGGGAAGAGCGCGAAGGAGGTTGGGGCGATCTGAAGAGTGGAGAGTGAGGAGCTGAAGATGTAGGAGACAGCTGATGGCATGGCATACAGGAAAGCATCGCTCAGTTTCATTGGACCTGGCGCGAGAAATGTCATACTTCGCGCGAACATCTGAGGGCAGGGCAGAAAGGGAGGGATAGAGAATGCAAAAGTCCTTCGCCGCTGCGGCGAAGCTGCCTACCATCCAACTCGGCTTCTCTCACCTCCACGTTGACACCATCGTCGCCCTGCTGCCGTCAGCTGCGATGTC